GTGTGTGTGTGTGTGTGTATGTGTGTGTGTGTGTGTGTGTGTGTGTGTGTGTGTGTGTGTGTGTGAGAGAGAGAGAGAGAGAGAGAGAGAGAGGCGCCCACCTTCATGGCTGCCCGCTGCCGCTCCCTGCCACTGCTTCGAGCCGTTCTTGTCCAGCCGTTGCCGTCTGTCGATGGTGCCCCCTCGTGTCTCTCCCTCCCTCCTTCGTCGCCCTCGCTGTGTCCCTCCCTCCCTGCCCCACCATGTCCCTCCCTTCCTCCTTCGTCCGCCGTGTCCCTCCCTCCCTCCTTCCCGCCGCTGCTCAAACACCTTCCCGCCGCTGCTCCAGCATCTTCCTGCCGCTGCTCTAGCATCTTCCCGACGGTGCCGTCCCCGTTTTCGAAAAAGTTTTTAGGGGGAAGGGCCTGCCGAATTCGGGCAGGCCCTTCCCCCCAAAAAAAATTCGCAGGTGGGGCGCGGCCGGTTTGCCGAGTGGCGCGACCCAATCGTCATTTTTGCCGGGGTGGGGGCCCACCGTCCTACCGATAGCCCAAAAAAAAAAAAATTCAGCGACCCCTATTTATCGACGTGCGGGGCGCGGCGGTGCGCTGTGCGGTGCACGGCCTGACGTAGGCAAACCGTGCGCAAACCGGCGCACCAACATGCGCCGCAACTATGGTTATTGCATGTCTATCACTCTCGCTCATATTCCTTGCAGTTGATCATGTCTTCTATCCTGGATCTACCTTTTCTTATCCTTTTGATCCTAATGCTGTGTTGATTCGGCTTGAAAGTTAAAACCCTAAACCTCGAACGTTTTCTATCTGTATAGACATAGTTCTAGCATGGGTTATGTTCAAAGATCTGATAACTAGCTAAGTTGGCTGGCTTGTTTTGTCTCTGCGTTCCTCAATACTTTTTATCCCTGGATTCCTTATGTTTTTCTAATCTTGAATCCTTGTTTTCTATTTGCTCCTGTCTTTGAGGTCTGTTTTTTCCGTTTCTGCCTCTTCCTTTTCTTTGAATTTTCTGCTTCGTAGACTTGGTGTCCTTTCCCAGGTCCGGCTGCTGTTTTTCAGATTACCTCTCTTACTGGTTTGGCATCTGGTTCATTCTTTGCCTCTAGCCGCTGTGGAGTCCTGCTATCATCTCATAACCGTGTGGGTTTGGTTTGACAGCTTCTGTTTTCCCCGTTTTCCTGTGTCCTTCTCGGTTCCTTAATACTCTTCAGCCTCGTTTGAACTTTCCTCCTGACGTTCCTCTGTGCCTTGTTGCTGTGTCCCACTTGCGAAACTGCAGGTGTCTGTCTTTTATTTCTGCCATTTTCTTACATTGTAACCACTTTTCTTCGAATGTTTTCTGGCTGAGCTTTCTCTTTTTAGGATCCATTAATCTTTCCCGTTTCCTGAGTTCCTTTTTCCATTGTGCTCTGATGTTTCCACTATTTCCTTTGTCTCCTTCCATTCCGCACGCTTTTTTATTCTCTCGTTCCCTAGAGTTCCCTTGCATCTAGATTTCCGTATGACCCATTGTATTGCTCCTCTTAATAGGTCTGCTATAGTTTTTTCCTCTTCAGACAGATTTCCTTCCCTGTCTCTTGCTGATAGTAGGTAGTTGGCTTTTTCTGGGTAGGGGTTTGAGGAAATGTTGGACCAGGACGCCTGACTGATTCCCATAGAGTAGTTGCATGCTCACACTCTATCAAGCAATGAATGAGCGACTCTACTTTGTTATCTCAGCATATTTTGCAGTGGGAGGACTGTTTCGTCCTTTGGTCTTCCCTTCTGCGTGAGTCCAACCATTCATTGACTGGGATCGCCCAGTATAGAATCAGCCACTGTAGGCTTCTGAATCTAGGGGGGTTTAGACTACTGTAGTAATCCCATGGAATTTCAGATAGCCATCCATGTTCTTCTCCTAGAAGTTTGGTCCATCTTTTTGACATGACTGGGCGTTGGTCTTCTGTCGTGTTCCTTATTTTGTATCCTATCTTTACTTCATAGTCTTGCAAATTGATCAGTTTTCTTGCTCTTCCTCCGCCCTGTTTTATAAACCACCCCCACTCCGCTGGATCTACCTCTAGGCTCTAACTCGCTGGTATCTTTGTTTGGTCTGAATATTAGCAGTTGTTGGGTTTGTGTTCACTACTTTGAGATTGTTTTTTCTTTTTTTGATTCCATGTTCTGATTTTCCTGATGTTTTTTAGGTTAAATTCCATCTTTGTTATGCTCTCCTGTTCAATTTCTACTATTGACTTGTGTATATTTATTAGCTCGTGTACTTCAAACTCTGCGGTGTCGGTAAGGGTGTCTACTTTCTTCAGGGATTTGAGGGCTCCTGGTTGTGTTAATTGCTGCTTGTCTGTTTCCCAGTCCCCTACCTCCCATTGATTTCATTCTTCAGTAGGTGTTACATGCACAGATATGCAATGTATGCAATAAACCGAGAATCTGCAATGTGATGAAAAGGACTGAATAGACAATGCAGTACGAGTAGAATCTCGACAAGCAATGTACGTTCTCATTCATACATAAAGATG